TTTGTCTCCATTTCATTGATTTTTGCTCTGATCTTTATAATGTCCTTTCTTTATGAACTTTGGGTTTGTCCTGCTCTTCTTTTTCTAGAAGCTTTATGTTCAGCATTAAGTTGTTTATTTGAGCTCTTTGTGCTTTCCCAATATAAATATTCACTGTTATGAATTTCCCTTGTAAGATTGCTTTCATTGTTTCCCATAAATTTTGATATGTTGTACTGGCATTGCCATTTAATTATAGAAACTACCTGATTTCTCCATTAATTTCCTCTGATCCATTGGTTATTCAGGAGTGTGTTGTTCATTTTCCATGTGTTTATAAAATTACTGCAGTTTCTTTTGCTACTGATCTTCAATTTCTTTGCACTGTGGTTTGATAATATACAGGTGATAACTTCAATTCTTTTGCATTTGTTTAAATATATTCTGTGAGCAAATACGTGGTCTCTTTTGGAGAACAACTCATGTGCAGTTGAAAAAAATGTGTCTTTTGATTTTGTGGGGTGAAACACTCTGTTAACATCTGTTAAGTTAATTTATTGGAGTTTGATTGAGTTCTAGTATTTCATTGTTGATATTTTTGTGTGTGTATTTGTCCTATTTGTGACTGTGGGTTACTGAGATCTTCCACTTCTATTGTTCTAGTTTTTATTTGATTTTTTATGTCCAGTAGTAGTTGTATATAGTTGGGTGCACTACTGTTCCGTGCATATATATTTATGATTGTCATGTCTTTCTTTTGGATTGTTCTCTTTGCAAGCATGTAGTGGCCTTCTTTATCTCTCTTAATTAGTGTTGGTTTGAAATCCATTTTATCTGAAAATAGGATAGCTACTCCTCTTTTTTTTTTAAGTTTCCTGTTGCATGGAGTGTTGTTTTCCACTATTTAACTTTCAATCTGTGAGTTTCTTTTGGAATTTTGTGTCTTGTATGCAGCATATTATTGAATCTTGGTTCTTGACCAGTTCTGGCATTCTATTTATTTTGATTGGTGAATTGAGATAATTAACACTGATGGTTTTAACTGACGTGTATTGAACTATCCTTGTATTGCTTTTTCCTGTTTTTGGATTCTCCCCTTTTTCATTTAATTTCTTTTTATACCTAATGGATTCATTCTGTTGGTCTTTGTGGAGCTGTGACCCTCATTGTCTTTTCCTAGGATATTGTTTAAAAATTTTTGGTGTGCTGGTTTCATATTCATGAAGTTCCCTAGGTGTTCTTTGTCATGAAACTATCTTATTTCTCCATCAATTTTGAAGGGTAGTTTTGCAGGGTATATCAATCTGGGTTGAAGATTGTTTACTTTTAGGGCTTGAAATACTCCCCTCCAGGCTCTTCTTGCCTTGAGGGTTTGTGTTGAGAAGTCTTCTGTGTTTCTGGCTTTCCTTTGTATGTGATTTATTTCTTTTCTCTAACTGCTTTTAGGATTTTGTTCTTCTGTTGGGTTTCTGGAGTCTTGACTTTTATATGCCTTGGTATAGTTTTTTTTGTTTTGTTTTGTTTTGTTTTGTTGTTTTTTAATCGTGGCTAGTTGGAGTCCTATATGCCTCACTTATCTGTATGTCAGATTCATTTCTCCTGGTTGGGAAGTTTTCTGCCATTACTTCTGTGAACAGTATATTTTTCTGTTATTTGCACTACTGCCTGTTTCTTCATTGTCTCCAATTAGTCTTATGTTATTCTTCTTTGCATCATCCAGCAGCTGCTAGATTGATTTCTCATGGTCACTGGCTAAGGACCTTATGTTTAGCAAATGTGAAAATGTAATTTTTATTTCAAACTATGATTGGTAATTTTTACATGAATGCATTTAAAACATTTTAAATTCTAATGATAACATATAAATGTGCAGAACTAAAATACTGATAAAAATATTCTAGTTATGTTAAAGAAACAATAGTTTGGCTCTTAAAAGCAGTTAAAAATTGAAGGATACAATTTTAAATATTTCAGCACACAAATCACACTAAAATTTAAAATGCACGAATAACAAAAGTACAACATTATTATCCAACTACTCATTTTACTAGTAATGTAAATTTAGAAACCAAATAATAAAATTTAACTTTTGTGTGGATCCAATAAGTGTCACTCATATGGAACACAAATTTCTCAAGTATTTCTTCATGATTATTTTATTGGCATGATGGATTATGAAATAACTTTAACATATGCAACTTAGTCCACATCATCTGTTTTCTTGAAAATAAGTTTAAATATCAGATTCTTAAGGGAAGTAGATTAATAGACCTATCATATCTCAATTTAGTAAAATTCCCTTATTAATTTGTCAGTATATCTTCATTTTCTTATTTTAAAGAGAAAAGGCTAACTGAAATCCTGGAAAAAATTTTGTGGATTACCGTGTTCCATAGAAATTGATCTGATTAGAATGACTTTCCTCATTTATTTTTTATGACTGAGAGACACCAGCTATCCCTCTAGAAATCCTATAAGCATTATAAAATACACATTTTTAAAACGCTCTAGTTTAAAACATGATTTGGTAACTACTTGAATTTAACAACAATTTCTTCTTGGAAATCAGTCTTAAAATAATGCTGAGCTCTTTAAATGTGTAGCTGTTCCTACTTTGTATCACAATTAGAATTCTGGAAAAACCATGTGGTATCTCTACAGATTTATTTTCACTTTAGGGTGAAAATGGAAACATGGTGATTCACATAGCAGAATATGGTAAAATATTCAAACTACAGTATAATAATATATCATGATTTTGTATTATTCATTTCAGTGGGCATTTAATCTAATATTAGCAGCAGGATTTAACTCCTTTTATTAGATTTGTTAATGTTCAGTTGAAATAATTGCAGTGTCTGATAGATTAGTGTAATAAATGCACAAAACTATTACTTTGTCAGAAATTATAAAGACAAAATATCAAATCATTTTAAAAAATAAATAAACCTTGAGAAACTTAATAATCAAACATCTGTTTTAGCTGATGCTTATTTTTCTTTAATTGTTATTCAATAACCAGAAGTTAATAAAAGTGTTTAGTGAAGGCAATTTATATTTGACTTCTTTTAGTAAATATTTACAAAGAAAAAAATGACACTGTGATTGTGGCTGTAAATGTATGAGCTAGTATGGTCAGTTCCTTGGCTTCTGTTAGTATGGCTTAAGCTTCTTATTAATAATTATGTTTTATCTCATTCAAACACAACCCGAACTAGCTTATTATAGACAATAAATATCTAAAGACTTTAAGAAGAGCCAAAACATGAAAGGAAATAAAATGCCAATTCATCCATACCTAAGAGAATACAGTGGTACCTTGGTTCACAAACTTAATTCTTTCCACAAACTAAATCCTAACCAAAACAAATTTCACCATACAGTTCAATATAAATAAGGTTAACCTGTTCTGAAGCATATGTATTTTTAAACCACTAAAATATGAAACAAAGTATAGTACAGTACAGTGTAAAGAGAGAGAACATCAACCTTACCTAAGGTGACTTCTGGTGTTGAGGAGAGGAAGGTAGGTGGAGAGGAAGTTATTGTTTGGAGGAAGAGTCATCCTCCATAAAGACATAAGGAAATCTCCTTAGGGGTTTCCTCTCCTCTTTATATCTTAGCCACAGGATCAATTTTGATGAAAAAAATCTGTCTATTGTCACTTGCTTTTTTCTGTGCTGTGTAATTCTTCAGACATGAGAGACCAGATTATCATTCATCAGATTTAACACTCTGTTCATTATATTATGTTGGGATGATTCTTCTCAAGCAATCTTGTCACTAGTTCTATTTTTCAATAATGGATTTTATCACATCACTGCTAACATTCTTGTCTTCCTCTTCCTCAGTAAAATGTTCCCCAACAAACACTTTCTGATGCTCACTCTGGAGTTCAGCAAGTTCTGTCATCTGCTCCTCCTTATGGTTCTCAACAAGCTCCTCTAAGTCTGCATCATTGATGTCCTGACACTTACTCTTGCCCATGGATACAATCTCCTCCCTGCTATCTATGCACCAGATCCTTCAAAGTCAAGTTTAGTGACACATTCTGAATACAGTTTTCTTATGTTGAGTTTAAGGTGTGGTATGTGACATCTTCTCAGGTTTTGTCAATGAAGTTGACACAGTGGAGGACACTGAAATGTTTCTTCTAGAACTCTCTCAGAGTCAAGTGTATCTCTTTAGTGGCAGTAAAACAGTTGGTGAAGAGCACCTTTAGCAAATAGCCCATTGTTTCTCAAGGAACTGTACTCTTTTCTGTGCGTAATTCCTTCCAAGATTTCTCCCTTGATTCATATGTCCAACAGCCTACATGACATTTACTTAGATTCCAAAGAACAAAACTTCTCAGGTTTTCTGAGAAAAAACTACTCAACCTCTTCTCTAGCAAGATTCTCTTGGTCTCTTAAGACTAATGTGTTCTTTTGCTATGCTTCCCATTCTAATGGATGGAATCATCATTCATTAACTTTCATGTCCAAGAATCCAAGGAATTATATTTGATATTTCATTTTCCTTCCCCATTTATATGTAACCCATTATCAAGTCCTACAAGTAACTACTGAGTATCTCTTAAACCTATAATTATCTATACATCTGTATACCTATCATCCTCAAAGTGCTTATTGTAATTGCTTCCTACTATTGTCCAACTATCCACTCTTAATTCCCTCCAGTCTATATTCTTACCTGGAATAATATGGTTATAACATGTGTAACAGAAAGTTTTGTTTAATGTTGAGCTCTCCTGCATATAGCAGAATTTTATTCCTTTTATGACTTAAAATATAAATCACTATTCATCCACTCATTTTATTTTTTTTTCCTTTTTATTGAGTTTATTGGTACAATCTAGGTCTAGATACAGTTACATTCATTATTGGGACGCTGTACCTTTACATAATAGGCCGTGATTCTCATTTTTTCCCCTTGTCCCTGCCCTCCCTTCACCCCCTCCTCCCCTATCCATTCATTTTCTGATGAACATTTAGGTTGATTCCATGTCTTTTTTTTTTTCAGATAAGAAGGCTAATGTGCTGACATCATAACAAGGTTGGAGGGAGGCACATCTCATGCACACGACATGAAGACCCAGTCACCACACTCATGAATTTAAGGATCTCCATGTTTTTAAAAAAACTATGAAGAGTACTACAATAAATATAAATACAGTAGGGTATCTTTAATTAATAACTTATTGTATATTTTAAAATAGCTATGAGGAAATTTTGAATGATCTAATCAGAGAGAAATGATAAACATGTTGGGGATTGTAGGTCAATTGTAGAGCATTTGCCTGTCATGCATGAGGCCCTGGACTTCAAGAATGAGAAAGAAAGAAAGACAGAGAGAAAGAAAGAAAGAAAATTAAAGGAGTAGGGAAAGTGGGAAGGGTAGGGGAAAGGAAAGAAAGGAAACAAAAATATGAGAAAAGGAAAAAAATGGAAGTATTTAGTAGAATGCTCATCTTTCCTTGCCCCTACAATGTAATTATTGCAATAACAAAATTGAAAAACTGTTAAAGTTTTACACTCCTTAGGTTTTTTGTTTTGTTTTGTTTTGTTTTTTGATACTGGGGATCAAACTCAGGTCCTTGCACTTGCAAAGCAGGCAGCAAAACCACTGAGCTAAATTCCCAGACCTACTTAGGTTTTTTTATTGTATCAAATTAATGCTCACTTTAGATTACTCCCCCTTTACTGTGCTAAAGATAAAACCAAGAGATTATGGACTATTTGGAAGCACTTTACCACTGCATTGCATCCCTAGCTCTAATGATTTTATCTACTTCATAGATAGTATTGTATTCTTTCACTTGGAGACACAGATGTAGTTTTCCCAAATGTCAGTGGAAATTCAGACACTTGATAACATCTTCATTCTTGCTTTCAAATTAATGGATTAGTTCACTAACATAAATTAACAATGAACAGTTAGTTAATATTTTAGTATCTTGATGAACCCATAGTTCTAAACGTTTGATGCAATAAAATCTATCCCGGTTATTGTCTTTCATGATGATACAATTGTTTCATTTGTAGTCATTGAGTCTCTTCAGATGAAGTTTCTTGGACACAAAAACTGTTATGACACATTACAGTCTCACTTTGCATATTCTATCATTCTAAACCTGAAATTATCAATTTTTTCAAAGATGCAGCACTTTCTTTAGCAGGAAATTATATTTAGGTACAAAATGAGCATCCAACAACATTTCTTCTTATAAATTACAGGATGAATTGCTGATCATTGGATCACATATTTAAGATATTAGAATTTTTTTACTTTACACATGATCTCTTTGATCAAGAACTAAAGTTTTCAAACAATAAAGTCTTTATTGGATGCCTACTCAATAAAGGCAAGAATAAAAGTTAAATTGTCAACTAAGAAATCTATCAATTTTCACAGACTTTTCCTGGTTTTTATATTGAACCTGCACATCTATATCAAAGGAGGTATTTAAAATATATAAAATTATCATATGCCATTTTCATGTTCTATAATCTGACATGTTTACATAGAGCGCTAATGGTCTCTTACTTAGTCCAGTGGCCAAAATTCTGGATATGTTATGTTGTATACAATGTCAGAGAGTGACTGCTCCTGATATTCTCCATGTTGGAGCTGAGAAGTGTATGAGTCATATAATCATGCAGAAAACAGTGAGATATCTTTTTCTCAAAAATATAACTTTTATTTTGGAATTTCTATTTTCAGTTCTTACAAATAACTTTCTTTCACAGTCCTTGATGTGTCGGATACCTTAAAGGAGAAATTGCTACATATAATATTCTATTACTAACCTTGAATACATTTTAAAACTCCTTAGGCAATTACAATAACTTACATTTTATAAAAATGACTAGAAATCTTACAATATTTACACTATTAGAAAATTATTATTTTTAAAGCTTAAATGAAAATAAATTAATGAACATACCATACTAAGTAAAGAAATAATCAATAAATTCTTAAATTACCTTTCATTTCTTACTGAAAATGAAACTTACTTTCATTTCTTTGAGAAATTAATGTGTTATAAATAATATTGTTTTAATTTATAATAATGGTATTCTTATTTAATGGAAAATTAATTTTTAATTTTACTGCCTTTTATGAAATTATTGTAAAATCGTCACTGTATTGCTGATATCATAAACATTGTGATATACATAATTGCTTATTTATTAATGTGAGAAAGAAAATGAGAGAAAGAAACGAACGCATTGTGATTTTATTTTCATTCATCTTAAGAGTTTGTTGTTCTCTTTCTCATCTTCCTGTTTCTTTTTCTTCTTCTTCCTCTTCTTTTTCTTTATAGGATCCATTAGTTGTTCAATTATCATGTATTTGGGAATTTTCCAAAACTCCTCCTGCTTTGATTTCTACTATCATACCACTGGAATAGAATAGATACTTGATATGATTTTAATCTTTTTATATTTTAAGATATGTTTATGGACTACCTAGCATACAATCTATCCTAGACCCTAGACCATTATATTTTGATACAAAAAGGGAAATCTAATTCACTAAAGTAAGTCTAAATATATAAAGAAAACATTATTTAGGTAGTGTTAGTATAACTAAAGTAACATGACACTGTAGTGTTAGATAAGAGTTCTTAGGGCACTGAGAGCTTTGATAGAAAACTAGGAATTCTGACTCCTAACTACATGATTTCCCACTTCCAAGATTCTATGTCAATTTTAAAGTTATAAATTATTTGCAATTGTTTCAAAGACTAATAAATCCTAACCACATATAGATGTATCCAAACCTCTAAAAACAGTGTTAATACTTTGAAAGAATTAATGTAGCCAGTAGGATATATAATTGATTTGCATTAGTATGAATAGCATAATATAATAACACTTCTTTATTTAGTGAATATATTTTTCTTTGTTATAAATTAACATTTTAGTTTATTTCCATTTTTATCTAATGGTGAACAAATAATTTCAGGGTATATCTTGATTAGTATTTCTTTGTTACTTGACTCTAAGTCAAGATATAGCCCTACTTTCACAACTTTATAATATCTTTAGCAAATTTTAGTCCAATTTAAAAGAAAACATTGTCCTTGTCTTACTCTACTTCCAGGTCCAACTTCTCCCTTCTATTTATTTTTATATGACTAGACTTTTATTATAATATCATGTTGGAGTCTGGGTTATTTTGAATCCTAGTGCCCAAAGCCACATGGGCTTTGTCTTATTCTACTTGGCACTAAAAAAGTAAAATTATTTTAAAATTTGGCAAGTCTCACTGTGCATGGATTCTGTGATAAATGGAAATTTATTTAAGGATCAAATCAAGAAAAACCTATTTTAAACTGAAATGTATTATTTTTGCAAACAATTTGTAAATTGATGTTTGATTTGAAGTGCTAGGAATAATTTGAAATTATAGGATTCTATCAACATTTATGTAATTGTAATTCTCAACTTTCTGCACTAGAAAGTTCTTCTTTTCCCTTGAGACCTATGAATTCCACTCTGAACACAGATGGAAAAAGTGTTGAGAGAAGTATATGAATTTGACTTGGTTGATTTTATAAATCCCATAATCACCCACCAAATGTCTATTATTTTATGTAATGTTCACTTCATTTTTAATGTGAAGTCTTTATGGGAATTAATTAATTTTTCTGTAGATGGCTTTGGAGGATCAAATAAGGCTTTATTTCTTCTGTATCCATCAGTAATTAAGTATACTAATTAGGGATTGAGGAGACAAAAATTCTAAGTAAGGGAGTAGATCTAAGTGGGGCTGGAGACATTTAGCCAACAACTAAATGTTTGTGTGCTGAGATGTTGACTGATGTTGGAGATTGGAGGTGATCAGTGGAGAGAAAGGGATAACTAGATTTTAAAAAATTAGAAAGAGATGGGAGGATGATAACAAAAACTCCATTTGGTTAGTCTTCAGGCAACCAAAGTGGTAATAAGTGGATTAGGGAGATTCTAATGATGGCTACAGAGAGAAGACGTTTTGAGGATGGATATATAATATTGATTGATGGAAGAAAGAGTATATAAAGCAACATTACTATCATAATGATTCACTTCTCAGTTTTTAATATTCCACAGTGATGCTTTGAAAATGTTTAAATTATAATTTTAACAATCATCAGCATATAACACTAAAAATTAAAAGTGATTATTTGTTGTAATTGTGTTTCAGGAGAGCTGTACCATCCTTTCTCACTTCAGTGTGCATCATCATTCCATATAGTTCAGCTAAGCTTCTCTGGTCAGGTTTTAAGAAAATATCAAATATGAATGTTTCCCAAGAGTGCACTAAGGTCCAAATTTCATCATCAAATCCAAGTGCTGGGAGAAAAGGAGAAAAAATGAAACCTGCTTATTCTTGCATTTTTCTGTGGCACTTTGTTAAGATCCTGATAAAATTGATTTTTAAAAAATAGTTTTATTTACTTATAGTACAACTAAGGAGAGTACTTTTAGCATTTTGACAATGTAAACAAAAATTTCCATTGTATTAATAAGTGGACCACAAATGTATCATTTTTTTACAATTTTTTAAATCAGACTCTAGATTTACTGTCATCCTTTTTTTCTCTTTCTTTTTTTTTTTTTTTTTGGAACTGAGGATTGAACTCAGGTCCTTGTGTTTGTGAGGCAAGCAGCAGAACCACTGAGCCAAACCCCCAGCCCCTAGTTTTATCTTTTATAAAATAGAATATATATTATGGAAGACAATATTAAATTTTGTTTTGGGTAGAATTTTTTTTTCCTTTCATAGGCTATCAAATTTCAGGGATGCAACGATGGTTCAACATACATAAGTCAATAAATGTAATACACTATATTAACAGAGTCAAGGGCAAAAACCATATGATCCTCTCAATAGATGAAGAAAAAGCATTTGACAAAATTCAACACCCATTTATGATAAAAACCCTGCAAAAAATTGGAATAGATGGTCTCTATCTCAACTTAATAAAGGCTATCTATGAGAAACCAACAGCTAACATCATAGTAAATGGACAAAAATGGAAAAGTTTCATACTGAAATCAGGAACAAGACAAGGATGCACACTATCACCACTCCTCTTCACTATAGTTCTGGAAACATTAGCCAGAGCAATTAA